CTAGTTTAGAGCCATTCCCATTTAACATCATAAACTTTGGATGAAAGTCACACAGAGAAGCTAAATAAGAACTTAAGCCAGGCATGATGTCAGGCCATCTGACAGGCAGGCTCTCTGTGAGCTGCAGTGGCAGCCACTCAAATGCCCAGCTAAACCAAAGGTGACCGCTGGAGAAAGCCATCTCCTGTGCCAACACACACAGTTCAGAGCACCAGGCTGGATCCTGCTTTCTGCCTGAGGTAGAGAAGTCTCCATAAAAACCACTACAAGCAGCTGTCTAAGCCCTTGATCCTGAGGCTATTTTCACTTGCCAGCAGCTCCAACCTGCAATTTAAGCATGCAGAGATGAGCCAGGTTTAAGGAAATTGGTTGCACAGTAGCCAGAAGCCATAGTTGTATGCTTGCTGAGGTGACTGCTGTGTGTCTAACTAAGCTGGCACTAGCTTAATCACAGCAGCATAAACCTAACTACAATAACTTGAAGATCTGATCCTTTTACTATGTTCATTTTAGCGATTCACGGTCTCTTTTTGTGGGAATCCTCCTGAGCGTATACAAGCTGACTTGCTGCCATGTACCTGTGTTTTGCTTAGCCAAGAGAGGGACAGCTGAAAGCAGCAGGAATTGGAAATTATGCCTTTTGTATGCTCTGGTGAACATCCTATAGACGTCTCTGCCTATGTTGCTACAAGAGTCAGGCCTCTTTGAAGACAAGTAACTAACATTAAGGCTTTTTGCTTCTCATAGACGATCATCAATTCCATCTGGTTTGGTTATGATGTGAAGAAGGCAGTGGAAGAGCCCAGGATTCATGATCAGCTGTTTCCCAATATCACAGAGCTTGAGCAGCAAATAGAGGAGGTTTGTCTGGCTAGAGAATCTGGGGGTGTGTGAACTCTTTGTATGGGCTGGGTTCCTAGTGTTGGAAAGGCATGCACTTGTGGAAAATCATGAAGCTTTGCCAAATGTTCCTAGGTGAACATAATTAAAGCAGCTGTTCAAAGTGTACCTATAGTTTCAGTCATATGGGTTTAAGGCCTAGTGCATTCAAGCATGACCTGCATCTGAAACTGAGGGTATGTATCTTCTTGCAGTGTTGTTTGGCTCAAAGGATGTGCAAAATAGCAAACCACATCAGGGCCGGAACCATCCAGCCAGTTTAAATCCAGTGACCCTCAGGAAACTCTTGATGTATTGTGCAACCTCCCAATGAATCCTGAAGCACTGGCACAGAGCTAGCAAGGGAGGATGCACAGAGGGACCTGAGAACAAACTTGAAAATATTTTCACAGTAAAGGTCTCTGTGCAGCACTGTCAGTCTGAGAGCTGATGGCAAGATCTGCCTCAGTCTGCATACCACTTGCCTGAGCTGGCAGCTTCATTGACCCTGAGGAATTACACATCCCAGAGACCCGAGACAGATGCAGTCTTTGTACATACCTCATCCCATGCCTCTATATAAGAGAAAATGCTCCTATATAAGGCAGCTTTCTTCTTCAAACCATGCAGAAGACCCTCCTTTAATAAGCTTCTTACTAAGATAACGGCTGAGATAATTGCCTGAAGCAGGGAAGATGCCCTGTCTTTCCCCCAGTTCCCGAACAGGATCCATCAGTTCCAGCTGTTGGTATATGAATATCTGAGGCAGAATGCTCTGTGACCAGGAATAGTATTGGTAGCCCACACTGAGCACCACAAATGCCACATCTTCTCAATTCCACCTCTTCAAAAGCAGGGCATCCCAGAAAGCAAAGGGAAGAGGAGGAACAGCATGTAGTTTTAGACCTACCCAATACAGGCACTGAACGCTTGGGTAGTCACGGAGGATGCAGGCCGCAGACTATGGCACGTGTGCAGTTTCTCTCTCCTATTGTCCTTATTCACTTCTGCATTCCAGGGTATAGAAGAACAACTAAAGAAGAGAAAACATGATACCACGCGAGTGAGTGGTGGAGCAGTTGTGCAGGCCATTCTCAGAACAGATGAAGGATGGGCTGCAGCCTCTGATTCCCGGAAAGGTGGCTTCCCTGCAGGCTACTGACGTGGCTCGGCTCCTTTTTTCAGTGGTCCAGTGACACTGAGGTGTGTTTGGGGGGAAGATCCTTTAGGTCTGCAACTCAGGGACTTCTCACGGGAAAGAGAACATATTTACCTGTGGTTCTGTTGACAGAGCTGGGACAGTTCTCTACAGCCATGACCGCAGTGCCTCATGCCACAGCAGTCTGCTAAGACAGGCATGTCTACCAGGACGTGCAGTACTTACTTGAAGAGTCTGTTCTGCCTTGAAGAGTTTGTTCCCTGCCTCCTCTCCATCCCATGAAGACAGATTAGGTACCCAGAGTTTCTGAAGAAGGTCCAGCTCACTCAGGCTGCAAGAAGTGTTTCCCCTGCACAGTGTCAGCTACCGGCAATGTCCCTGTCACTGCTAGAGAAGTGATTTGTTTTCTGTTGAGTAGATGGGAGTTAGAGGACTCTGGGGACTGGGTTTTCTAAGTTACAAACTATTAGATCTGTGCCATAGCAGGAAGTCCAGCTCTAGACTGGGATAAGCCTTCACAAACTTACCACTCTTCCTTTTAACAAAATATGTTTCTGCTTTTCACTTCAGTTGATTATTGGAGATGAGTGGGTAAATGGGGAAATGGCTTCAAACTTTTTTATATTTCTGTTGAGAAGGTCTAAAGGGAAGATGCTACCTGTAAAACTCTGAGCACAACTAAAATAAATAAATATGGAGTCACACATTTTTCTTGCCTGCACAGTTGCTACTGCGAAAATGGAAGGTGAGAGTCTGCGTGAAGGAACCTCTCCTGGGATTTTTCTCCTTTCTTCACTCTTTTGATGAAGCTATGAGTAAAACAAACAAACAAACAAACAAAAATTAAATATCCAAAACGAGTTTTTTTTCACCAGTTTGCTTTTTGCTACATCATACTGCAGGCCTGAAATACCAGAGTCTGAAGAAATGAAACCTCTAAAAAAGGGCTGCAGCCTACTCTCATTTGAAGGTAAGTTACCATTAATCAGACAATTAATGACCTCTCAGAAATCCCTATCTGATATGAAACAACTAAGTGTCTGTACATATGCATGAGAGGGTTTTGGGGTTCACCTATCAGCATGGACTAATATATCACATCAGATCAATTTAGCCTAAGATCAAAACTGAATGTTCCAGGATGTTGTCAAGTTCTAGGGATGTTTATGAAATGCTTGAAACACAAATAACAGTAACCGAACTCATCTATGTGACTTGTTGAAACTTCCTGTCAGTTTGTAAGAACCTTAAAATACAGAATGCATTGAAAAGAAAATGAAAGGCTGAAATTTTAAGCATCAGGCACCCTCTGTTTCCTAGTAGTTTCTGAGTTGAGGAGAGTCTAGTTTCAAGGAATAAAGTGATAGCTAGATCATGCTTAAATCAAAGAGTCACGACTTTGACATATATGTTTGCTGATACCACTTCCAATGAATGAGTGGCTTTTACTAACAGTCACCTAGGATATGCTCTGTGCTCCTTTTTCCAGAGCTGTTGCTTATGATGTGTTAGGTGCAGCTAAGGCAGTGATTGTACATAACCTAGAGTCATCGTGTTCCTTTAAGAATGAGATTGGTTTGGGCCCAAACCTGTATCCTTTTATCACTGAACTGAGACTTTGACTTTTCTTCATGTAATTCCATAATAGATGCCACTCAGTGGCAGGCTGCTGTTAAAATCCAGTTTGCAGGCCATTTTTGGAAGCTTTGATACAAGTTTGTGTATGGAACAGCATCAGCTGCTATTTGTTGGAAATAGCTGGCGCTTTGTACTGGCTGAGCTCTTTCTTGGCCCAGTGTGATCTGAGAAATAAACAAAATTATTGCACAGCAAAATAAGCTTACTGAAACATTACAGTCACTATAGTTAGTCTGAACTACAACAGAAAAAGCTTGTGTTCTGAAACTGAAAGGTAACTCTTTTCTGGGAAATGACTGTTGGACAAACATGCTTTCTGAAACAAGTTTGAATACTGCTGTGTTGCTTCTAACAGTCCATGACAGAGCAGTCTTAGTTCCTGAATTTCTTCTAGCTAGTCAGAAAACTCCCCTATTATTTATAACATATGTTACAAAACTTCCCTTAAGGAAACCTCAGATTTTGCCATGGCTAAAAACACTTCTGTTGAAAACTATTCTTATAAATGTATTTGAATTCTTGACTCGCTGCAGAAATTTGTTTGTTTTAGTAGTATCACCATAGAGGACTGATTTATTAAAACTAAGCTGGGCCAAGGCTTGCACTTACATCCCATATTTAAAAAAAAAAAACCCAAACGACTATGGATACTTCTGCGTGCTGTAATTATCCACATCTCATTTGGACATATCTGTACATAGGGCATGCACTTCTGCCACCTGCTTTGAGACCACATTCCATTACTCACACTACATTGAGGCTGTCTGTGCATCAATAGGCAAATGTCAGTCAATGGTTCCCACTGTAAAACCTCCTGATTGTACACTGCAGGCCATTCAGCTTGTCTGAATGTTTCATCTACAAGAAAATACATCTTTCTTCTTGTGTCCCACCCCTCTGAATGCAACCACCTCCCCGCTCTGCTTCTGAGCAGAGACATAACGTCTCAGTGTAAGCTGCCTGACGCAGGGCATGGAGAACTGGACAAGTTGCCATGACCGATTCCAGCTGATCTGAAAGAGAGCTGTAACTGTTAAAAGGCAATTCAGATAATGACCTGGGGGATTCACTTCTCTCCCCTATTCTTCAGTCTAATGTTACCGCAATTTTCTTTTGGCACCTGTCCAGCCTCTGGAAAGGCTACAGGGAAGTGCAGGACACAAGTGGCAGATGCACTCCTCTGCACAGTTCCTCGGTTTCTCCAGTGGCGTATTGCATCTCCACAATGAACAACTGTTACTGCTGGAAACACCTGCATGAAAGTCCTCTCTCAAACAGCTTCTTGTGTGTTAGCCTAGGCAATAGTTTTAGAGAAATTCCCAGACAGGTTTAAAATCACTTTATTAAAAATATAATTTAAAGACTTCATTAGAAAATAGAGCAGCCTTTGTACAGGGGTGCTTTAAAAGTCTGTGTAAGTTGACCAAGTACAAAAATAATGCTCTCCTGTTGGCATGAGTATGAATGGGGAGACCAAACTGGGAGGCTCTTGATCTCAGCAAATTACAGCAGTAGTGAGGAGGTGGCAAGGCAAGATCAGAGCTGATAAAGGGAGGTACCATCCCTCAGCTTCACCAGATGTTTTGCTAATGAGGACTACAGGACTGCACGTCTCTGCCGCTGTGAGATCTGTACTCTCATTCCTTTCTGTCTTGCAAATTAAAGCTGTAATGAGTTTTAAAACTGCTTAATTGGCTCAGTTTCAGTGTTAGTAGCAAAGAAGTTAAATTTCAGTGAGTGCTGGGCTACATATAATATTTCCATGTCTTCGTGGTGAGAAGTAGCTATGATACTACTGCACTGGAAAGGTGACAGGCTGGATTATCCTAAGGTATGTCAGAAGTGATGGTAATTGAAGGCGTAGTTATCTGGTGACTTGGCTTTTCCGCTAGCGAAACATGATGGCTGAAGGCTGCCCTGAAGCCTAATAGGGAAGCAAGAACTGCTCTCCCCATCTCCAGCCAGTGCCATCCTCAGTTGCTTTTTGTAAACTCTAAGCTCAGTTGGGCTAGCTAGAAATCAGCTCTTGGTAAAGCCAGCAACCAGTCTAGTTAGTTTGTCTGGTCTTGAAATGTGAGCTGGAGATGTCTGGTGCCCATAAGTGCTTCCCCTGTGACAACTTTGCAGTTGGGGTGTTATTTCTGACACTAGAACCAGTACATTCAGGAACTGGTAGCTGAGGTAAGGGAGTTGATGAAAGTAGAAGACTTCAGCAGATTATGTAGATTGAATATGATTACTGAAAAAAAAAAAAAAACCAAAACAAAAAAGGTAACCCCTTCCAAATAAACATAAATATTGCCCACCCCTCAAACTTTAGGCCCATTCCCTTTCGCTATTTGCATTCAGCAGTACTGTAGTGCTGGCTAACAGGGAGCTGTGACACCTCTCTGGCTTGGGTAAGCAGCTCTAAGGGAGAAACCAGCAGTCCTTCCTGAACTAGGGGATTTAAGATTAGTTTGCTTGGATGAGGAAGGAGGAGGCACAGCACGGAGCTGGCTGTATACATAAGTAACCTGTCTTCCCAAATGCATGATTTAAGTGCTTGCGGTTATGAACTGGTAATTTAGGAATACTTTTTCATTAAACTCTGATACAGCTGCAGTCATACTATAGTCCCTAGTGTACCATTTCTGAAGGAAAAACACATGTCTGGCTCTAGTCAGCTTCACTCAGACCATCATTAAAATGCAAGTGAAGGCTGAGATTTCAACAAGCCAGTGGCTTTATTTGGCAGACTTTGTGGATAAGAATGTAGACTTAAAACTTATCTGGCTTTGTTTGCAAGTGTGTGTGTCGATTGCCTTGTTTCGGTTTGTTTTTTTAATAGTGTGTGCCCAAATACTTGCTATGGTGTTTACAGAAAGGTTTTATTTGTGTACTCAGAATATCATGGGCTGTGTGTGAGGTAAGAACTAACATGCTCCGGGAGGGCTTAGCTAGTGCCTTGCTCTGGTTTAGCTTCACTTCCAGAAACACACAAAACTGTCTGTGCCCATAGGGAAGTACAGCTCATAAGCCTTCAGAAAATTGAGTTGTTGGGGATCGTGGGAACTTGCTCCTGGGCAGTTGAGAAGAGCTTTGGGTTAGGTTTTGTTTGTTTTTCTTAAATGTTTGATTCTGTTGAGCAGAGCAAGATTATGGAGTAACTAACTGCCAAAGACCTTTCATATCCAGGTGCAGGTCTCTTCTCCAGGAGTTTTCTCTCTCAGTGATAGTTCTTTAGTCTTACAATTTCCTCCTTGTGCTCTTAAGGGGGAACACTAGAGACTAGTAAACAGGGAGTTGGAGCATGTCCTGAGGTTATGGACGAAAAGTATTCTGCTAATGCCCGATAGCGCTGCATCACTTCTCAGCAATGCTGGTGTTTGCCTGGCAATGCTGAGCTCATGGCTACAAATGAAGTCTTCATGTATCCTTTTGTAGAAGAATACTTTGAAGAAAGTTATAAAGCTTCCAAAACCAACAGCTCTTCCACTGCAATCCTCACCTGCCTTCCCAAACAACTCATCTCCTGCCAGCATTGAGGAGGGAGAACTGACAGAGATTGGGACTCCTCTTGCCATAGGGAGAGGTGCCCCCAGGGAACTACGCTGAAGCCTGTCCATCCCAGGAGCAGGGAATTCACATCGCCCCATGGGAGGCTTATTCTCAGAGTCACCGCTGTGCAGGGTTGAAGAAAGCTTTGGTGCAGTTACAATGAGCTTGTGGGGTCCTTTGCATCCCGAAGGTGGAGAGCAGTAGGGCAGCAGCTTGTGCTGTGGTGCACTGATTTCATCTGCCACCTTTGGGAAAAGCATCCATTTCTTTGGATGGGAAAAACCAAGAGGGAAGTGTGGAGTTTTCCTCTCTTCCCTTTCCAAACCCACCCTCTAAGCCTGGATGCTTAAGATTTTAAAATCCTGACCCTACAGGCACATAATAAGCTTATTGTGGCAACAGCCTGAAAGAAACCACTTCTACTCTTAACTGAGACTCTCCAGTGGGAGTGGGAGATACAGATGGGTTATTTCACAGTGTTCACAAGTGGGTTTTGGACCAATGTTCCTTTCCCACTTTGTATTCTCTTATTCTGCATAGGTGATGTGCTCAAGAAATAAATTTTTCCATATATTATGTAAGTAATGGAGGATGTAGCTCTAAACAAGGTTGGCTGACCTGTCCTTGTGTTGTCTGAGGGTGACTTGCAGTCTACTGGAATTAGGTGTAATCACAAATTTTGCCCATACTCTAGGAGGCACCCTGATGGGAACAGGCAATACTGGCATGTCCAAGCCAAAGCATGTTCTGAGTCTAGTGTCTAGAGTCTCCTGTGGTTTTGTGAGTTGTGATGGCTCTTCACACTAATATCCAGCTGACTTCCCCAGCTTCCTTTTATCAGAGTAAGCTGAGATACATTTTCCTTCCTTGGAAATTCCCTGCACAACGTTCATTGCAAATTCAGCTTGCTTTTCTTTATGTCCTCTTCCCAGCAGGCCGCTCTTAATCTCCTGTAGTGGGGAGAGAAGAGGAAATGGAGTGAATGGGGCAGGGGCCCGAGGTCTTAGTGTTGTCAGGTGTGAAAGCAAAGGATGTGTATGTGGGGTCAGGTTGAGAAAGTAAGATTTAAGCAAGAAGGAGGTTAGCTAGAAGCAAAATACAGATTATTCAGGAGAGTTACAGAAGCAATCTGCTTCTCACCAAAAGAAGAAGAACCAAGCGAGGCCACTCACCTCACTGAAATGTTCCTCAAACATGATCCTGTCACCATCGGTATGCATGATGGGAGCTGAAATGGCATGTTCCAAGTCATAGCCAAGCCACAGCTTGTTTATAATCGCCTGCAATGAAAGAATTCCCACACTGACTGACTGGAGATACTGAACAAGCACCTGGGTCACATGCTGCCATCCTCAGCACTGGTGTAAAGCCAGACCAGCTCTGCTGTAAATCCTGCCTGCAGGATGGTGCAAACCTGGACTGTAAGAGAGGCTGCACTGAGTCGGACCAGAAGTCCTACTAGCCTAGTCTCCTGTCTTCATGGTGACCAACAGCAGATGCTCAGGGCAAGTATAAGAACAGGGTGAGCACACAATGATACTTCCCAGAATACTTTCTCTGAGCCAAAGTGGTGTCCTTGATTTCAGTAGCTACTGATTGACCTTATATATTTCTATTGATGGTTGTTCTTTCTGGTTTTAGATCAGGTCCTACTATGGACTCATTCCCATGCTTCTCTCCAGTTAGAGAAAGATGAAGGAAACAAAAAACATCTTCTTTTTCCTCTTGTGGCCTTTGCTTTTATTTCTTGATCAGTGAACAAGATGTTTGTTAGATTTCATGCTTCATCAAGCTCTTTTTCATTAAGATTTGTTACTCTGTGTGTATGTATGGTAGTGGTTTTCTGGTTTTCTTGTTCTCTCCATCACATAGCTTATCAGTTTATTTTTGGGGGCCCAAGGTTTTGGGCAATGGCTCTCTTCCTAATAACTTCCTTAACTTGCTATTTAATTATTCTAACTTCTCCCCCTTTCAAAAAAAAAAAAAAGAATTGAGTAAGGCAGCTGGCACTTGCTCTGGATTTCAACCTGCAGCCTTTAGTGACTTCTAAATTAAACAAAGCACCAAGAAGTCAAGACCTGAGGATGGATGAATAGAAAGAGCAGGTGGGACTGACCATAGCTGGAAATCTGGGAGAGCTGAAAAATTTGGCGACTGCTGTGGGTTCTCCCACCTCCTTCATTCCTGGTCCCTCCTGGTGGAAGTGCAATTCAACAGCAGAAGCTAGCCCCTGCCGCCCTTGCCACAGAAATGCCAAGAGGCAAGAAGGTGAGGACAGGCTGAGTCTGGATCTGGCCTCCTTCACTGCTGCCTTCCCCATAGCAGTACTAGCAGCAGCAAAGTAATTCCTTTTGTTCAGGACAGTGGGTGCCCCCCTAGCTCAGCGGAAGGCGTTACTATGCAGTACCGGTGCACTCACCATAGTGGTAGCACTGATAATCCAGGCCCCGCCTGCTCCTCCGATCACCAGCATGTCTCCTGTCTTGGAGATGAGAATGGAAGGCACCATTGCTGAGGGAGGCTTCTCTCCTAGGGCAGAGGCAGAGTATGATTTCTCCAATGTGGCTCTTAAGGGAGTTGGAGAGACACACATTTATCTACCTCACCCTTCTTGCATTCCCCATGGAGAACTAAGCTACTGCTCATTTCTGAAGAAGCTCAAGTCTTCCAGAAAACTAGCTTCCTTGGGCTGAGATCCCATCTCACAAGGAACTGGACCTTTACAGCACAGGCTAACCAGGAAGCATCTCTCGACGCAGGGCATCCTGCAAGTACTCAGGACCTGCTGCAGCTCATTCAGCCCAGCCAAGGAACCATTAGCAGAAATCCTGCCATCGCAGTACTGATATCCTCTCTCTTGGCAGACCCAAGGGAGAATTGCATCAGAGACAGCTTATTTCACAGAGCAATGTCTCTGCATCAACACTGATGTGTTACAGAACTCCGTGTAAGCCTATAGAATTAATGATTGTGCGGCAACTATTACTATTTTATAGATGAGCCTAAAAAGTCAGCAAGCTTGTCTTAGCACTAGTTTCTTCACTTCTTCCCTCCCCTCTCCATCAATTCAGAAACCGAAACTCCCATGTTTCTATATAAGGGCATATGTGAGTAGACAAGACACACTACGGGGTTTTATCCTCTGTTAGTCTAAAACAAACTTGCTCTCATCCAGACCTAGGAAAGGAAAGAGTGCCTGCAGTTTACAGATAGTCCCTGCGCACTTGTACACGGCCTGCATATCCATCTCCTGGCCCTGTGTTTTATTTTAAGGGTAAGAATACTCACCTGGTTTAATGCTTCTGTTTGCTGTGCAGAAATCAGCAAGTTCGTTATTTAAAATGATCCCAGTTTGGTTAGAATACACAAAGGCACCAAACCTGCAGGGGGGGAAAGAAGTAGCTTTTCAGTGCCCAGTGCTCTCCTGTTGTGGATGCCATTACCTGACCATGGCACCCTGGGGGTTACCTCTGTCTCCTCCCAGCATGGCACTGCCCCAGCTAGGGTGGCCAAAAGGTGTTTGTGCTGCTGTGCTGGAGTGAGAGATAAGCTCCCTGCTACTAGTGTATGTGGGGATTTGCCCAACTCCCAGAAACTCAGCAGAGCTCAGCAGGTTGTTACATCATGAATTGTGATGATCCTTTGGGCTGATGCTCAAAGACCTTTGCAGCCACATGAACAAGGCATTTACAAGTAAGAGACTGCCTAAATCTGTGAAGCCCAAGGGTTTTGCATTTCTGGTAAACAGCCCTTGCAGGTGCCCTGTGAACTTGATACATGGCCTGTGTGACTCAATTACCAACCCCTTGGCTACTCACGGGTAGTTTATGGTGCTGGTGGCAGACACAGCGCTTCCATCTGCAGCGAGCACAGAGATGTGGCTTGTGCCCTTGCTTTTGTATCTGTGGTTGTATAGGGACTCCAACAAGTTGTAATGGTTGAGTGGGTGGTCACCACGGGCATCTATTCGGCTTCTGACCAGCTCAGCAATCTTGTCAGACAGCATGGTCCTCACAGTCACCTGTAGTCACAGCAAGGACATTGAGCTTGTGTCACCAAAGCACAGGTATGTCTGACTTTGGGCACGCAGAAGCCTGGGGGACTCAGTCCCAACAGTCAGAGCTTGGGCACCTGCATTGGCCACGCTCAACACAGAAAATGAAACAAGCCCAGTACTGAGGGAACCTCAGCATTGGCATGAGCATGTGCACACCCTTTGTCAGGCAAGTGAGCGCAAGCCTACAGTTGAACAGAAACTGCAGACAAAGTAAATGGCCTAATCTTGCCTTTGCCTTGGCCAACTGAGCTGCACTGCTCTTGACTAGCAGTTCTAAGTATTTTCTTTCCTTCTGAGGCTACAAAGCAAGCAGGTGTAAGAGCATTGCTTGGCACTGTAGCATTGTGCTGGCAGGCAGGATAGCCTGGGCAATAGGTAGCCTGCTTGAGAGATTAGCACATAGGCTAAAATGAGTTGGTGACAATGCACATTTGGAAAAAAAAAGGTAGAAAATAGACTCCCCTGCTTCTTCTCTGTCAAGCAGCCATGTAGAAGCAGCTGTCAGTGCTGTGAGTGTCTGTGGCTGCCCCTATGCACCATGCCAGCTCACCTGAGCTTCGGAAAAGGCTGGGTCACTCATCTGGGGTTTTAACATATTGCCAAACTTCAGGGCCTCTGCAATGCGATGGTAAGTTTCTACCTTCTCCTTGGGCGTTGCCAGTGATGCTTCATGGAGTTTATATTCTATGGAGCAGGATGAAATAATTTTGTTAATAAATCCAAGGCAATGCTTTGTCAAGAACAGTAAAAAAAAAAAAAAGTTGAATGGAACCTCCTTTTCCCATCCCAAGTTTCCCCTATGCTTTAGCAAGATGTGGACACAGAAACAACTAAGTACTAATTTCTGCTGTGACTTCAATTCCTCTTGAAGCCTTGGGAAATCGTGTATCCTTTGGCCTTTGCAGCAGCCATGGTGATGCTGATCCACTGTAAGAATGAGCCAGTCCATCAACCCGCTGCATAGCATGGTCACGCTGCTGCTTTGGGGGCATTCTGCTTCCCCAACTCCATTTCTGCCCATTAATTTTCTACTGCACTAGAGCAATGCTCTTTGCTAGTCTTGCTCCTCCTTTTCCTTTAGGAATTTACCTTCCAGTATGTTGAGGATGAACATCAGCACAGCACCTCCCATGGGTGGTCCAGGAGAAAACACCGTGGTGTGATTGTTCAGGGTAATGTTCAGAGCTGGGGACACCTCTGCTTTGTATGCCTGAAGGTCCTCCAGTGAGATACTGGACCCTTCAACAGAAAACCAGACAGGTAGTTGGCATTAGCACAGTAACTCCTACTAGGTATAGCACTTAGGCTGGCTATATCAGTGCCCTGGTAAAGCTTGTAAAGAGCCATCCCTGCATATTCCAAACTTCTTTCACCAGGCATAGCAATGTCTTCATGTGTCCTCATCTACCACCAAACCCCAGGATATCACAAAGCCTGAGGGAGTTGGAGAGTGCATGAGCACTGTGGCTGAATGCCAGAGCAGTAGGTGGCTCTCAGCCCTGCTTCTGGGCCTGTGTTACAAGAACTGGGGAAAGGCGGCCCCTTCCCATGCCAGGCACCAGCCCAAGTGACAAGCAAGCAGCATGTGTTGGCTTTCCCCTGGTACTGCCTCACTGTTAGCTGGGAAAAGACCCATCTCTTAGTATTAACTGTTACCTACCAGCCTTCTTAATGTCATCCACCAGGGCCTCTCCTATATGGCCCTCATAAAATGCTGTAGCTCCTTTTTCTGCTACAGCTCTCAGTGTTTGCTGCAGCGCTGGCCACCTGAAGGTCTCTCCATGCTTCAAAAATCTTTGACCATCACATAGCAGTGGGCTGTTAAAGAAGAACATCCATCAGCACAGGCTTATTCTGTCCCCAGGGCCAATCTATTTTTTCCTACCCAAGGCTGATTTGGTTTATGCATGTTGTATACTTTCCAACCCAGTGCTACACTGCAGACTACATGGAGAAAAGTTCTCAGGCAATTGCTACCCGTAGCATCAGGCAGTCTTTCCCCAGACAAACTTTCCTCCATGGGACCTAACGCTCTGACCCTGGCTCAGGTCAATGTGGCTTCTCCAAATGAGTGTCTGCTGTGGGGGCCTGCTGTCAGGGTACGATTTCCACATAGATGGAGGCAGGCCACATACAGTCAACTCCACCTCATGAGCAGATGTGCTTAGCAGACAGTTGGCTGTGCCAAGCCACTCTACATTATGAAAAAAAAAAAGTTGTTGAAAGAAAATTTTTTAAAAATCCCCACTTTGTTATCCCTTCCCTCTCCATAGCAAGTATTTACTGAGCAGAAGCTGCGGCAGCAGCCTGTGCTCCATGTCAGCATGTCAGAGGATGGGTGTGAAGCTGCGGTGGTCCTCACACTGCAGTTTAATTCCTGGGTCTTACCACAGGCTTTTTCCTGGTCTGGAGAATTCTGGGTGACTGATCATTTTGTCCATGACTGGGGAAATGACAAGTGGCTCTGAAAGGAGCTTGATGGTTGGTTCAAATAGGGCTTTCCATGGTAAGCGGCCGTATCGCTTATGGGCTTCTTCATACCCACGAAGTTCTCCTGGCACAGCAATCCAGCGGGAGCCTGAAGAGCAGAACAGCAGTGTCACACCCAGTAACTCATTGGCCTGTTTCACCTCTGTGAAAGCACTCCACTGGAAGTGTGGATTTGTACAGGCAGGAGTAAGGCTTCTAAAAGCAGGCTTGGGGTTTTTTTCTTTCCATTATCTGTTCATAGATTTCTTCCACTATCTAATAGGAGAGGTATAGAGAAGCTGCAGCCAGACTCAGAGGTGTGCTGTGAAAGCACAAGAGACAACAGGCATATGTTGCATCAAGGGAGATGGCAGATAAGAGAAAAAGCACTCATGCAGAGCCTGGTCAAGCACTAGAACTTGGGAACAAGGGAAGTTGTGAAATTCTCTATCCTTGGAGGAGTTAAAAAACGTGACAGGACAAGGCCCTGAACCGCCTGAGCTAACTCTGACATCGCTGTTTTGAGCAGGACTTGGAGCAGAGACCTCCAACTATCCCTTCCAACCAGAGTTGTTCCTGATTTTTTTTCAGGCTTTTCTCCAAAGGATAAGAACAAGGAACTAGGCCTCACCCAAAAAGAAAATGCGCTAGGGAAGGAGACCAAATGCAGCAAGAAAAGTGGAGAGATCCACAACGTGCTACTAAAGCGAGAGTGCCTGTTGTGGAGCTGCCTCAGCTGGGAGTGAGCTGAGCTAAGCTGGAGCCCAGCGACTCAACTCCTGACACGGGCAAGTGCACTAGATTGATTTCTTTTGTTTCCAGAAAGTCTGAGTAGCTATTGACCTTATTTTTCTCTGTAAGAACTGCTGGGAAATGAGTACTTTGGGAAATCTGGTCTCAAAATGCAGACTTCCTACGAAATAAAATTACATAGTGATTTCTCCTCATGGCATGCTCCCCACCCCCTCAACAGTCAGGTTGCAAATGTTACTATGAAACAGGAACTTCATGGACCTGGTATTTTTTCTTACTTTTGCAAAAATCAATCCATGAATAGCACAAGCAATTAAATAGAACAGATAAAGTCAGTAAGGTCCTCAGTTCCCCCACCCTGAGCTTTGTGCACTGCATGCCAGGAGGTCGCACAGCCCTCATGGCCCAGTCTGTGTCCTTACCAATGGGAAAACCATCAGTACAGCCAGACAACAAATTGTGTGGAAACACTCGTGGGACTGTCTCACGGGCATTGATCACTTCGACTGTTCCTGGAAAGGAGAAGGGGAACATGTATAACATTGTCTTCCTGAAGCAGGTGACCATCACACTTCAGCCAGCAGTGAGCACCACACAGGCTGCCAGCCCAGACCCCGTGGAACTCTGCTGAGCTGCCCTGAAGCCTTTTGCCAAACACGGCAAGCACACTTGCAGGGTCAGGCTGCAGTCGGCACACACTGTCATTTGCTCCCATGCTTTTATTTAAAGCAAATCAAGCAGTGCCTACCTAGAGGCAATGAAGTACAAGGACAAGGCCAGGGCCTGGCTCCCCCCAGTTAAGGTCCCCCCCCAGGGCTCCTGGGCTTGGGACATGGGCTGGGACCTGCTGCTTCACATTGACTTGCAGGTTCCTGCACTTCCTCTACAGGTGGGACACGTCAGAGACACAACATGAGCCTCACCCTCCTTCATGGGCCATTTTCCAACTGATAGTGAGGCATGTCCAACATGTTTCTAAGCAGAAAGACCCTCTATGTATCAGGAAGCTTGAAAGAAAAAAAAAAAAAACAACCACCAAAAAAAAACCCCACTCATATTTCAGGTCTAGCCTATTATTTCAGCCTCTTCTCTACCTTGTCTTTATCTTTTCCTGCCACAGTCCACAGAGCCAGCTGTGCCGCAGAAGCCACAGTGCTACCTAGTGCACCAAGCACCTGAGCTGTGCATGGCCATGTGCAGCTCTGTGCAGCGGGGTAATTCATGTAGCCAAAGAGGACTGTTGATAGGAGACAAAGTTACGTGGCTCTGTCAAAAGGGAAAAAATAAAAATATAGGTGTTTTGCCAAATTATGCTATTGCATAAGATACACCCAAGCATTTCCAGACTCGTGATTCTGTGAGACTACTTGGCCAGATTTTTAAAACTACAATATTGTTACTGTGTTCATTGTTGACTTTACTATTTACATCTAAAAGCTCTGGGGGCTTTTGGGAGCCAGGACAGTTAAAAAAAAAAAAAAAAAAACAAAAACGAAACACATTAAAAACATAAAAGCAGGAACACAACACTCGGGGTTAAGCCAGATGCAGAAAGGCTTCCCAGCGGGCCCTGAACATTGTTAGATTTAGTTTTCTGAAGTGAAGCTGCATCTTCTGGGACAGAAGTCTCAGCGCTGCTTTGGGGAGTCCCACCCATGCCAGCGAGGGCAGCGTGAGATGCAGCCCCCGTGCCAGCAGGCGCTGCCTGAGCTGCTGGCGCAGGATGAGGTCCCAGCCCAGGGGCTCAGCTGAGCCAGCAACAGCCCCGTGTTGCTGTGCTCATTGCCAGCACACACACCTCACTCGGCTCCTGCCTGCCTCCACAGCTGCCCAGACAGCACAGCTCACACCTTGCTGCACCACCAGTTATGTGACATTGAAATATAATTCGGGATTGGTTTGGATGGGGGAAACAGAGGCGAAGTCAGTTCATTTTAAATCCAAAGCTCCTTCCCCCCCACCCCACCCACCCCCACCCCTTCTTGCTGTGAAAAGATGCACTCCCTCTAACAGGTGCTTTGGGTTAAGAGCAAAACACATGGTTTGTGATCAGAGGATGCAGCTTTTATATGCAAAAAATTGCTCTGAGAGAACATTAAGGGTTCTGACTTCTTCACGGCACCTGCATGTCTGCAAGGAGACAGGGCACCATGGAGAGGCCAGGGCTGGGCCATACCTGTGCTGGCATTATAGATGGTAAATACGACCCCACCACCCAGGCCTGAACTCTGAGGGTTCATCACTGAGGTGCAGATCAAGCCAGCGATGGCAGCATCCACAGCCGTGCCTCCGCTTTTCAGGATGTCCCTGTGGTGGAAAGGGAGGAAAAAAGACAATGTTAAAATCCAGGAATGACAGAATGGAGGAACCACATAAAAATCTCTCCCTGGGGCACTTGCAAGGCAGCCCCAGCTTGACAAGAGCAGCTAGCAGTTGGAGAAAGCTACTGGCAGCAGCATGGAGTGTGAGAGTGCAGAAAGGCACCTTCCCTTGTGGGAGTGAGAAAGAAAAATCAGTGGGAAAGGAGGGAAAGTCTGCAGGAGGAAAGAGAAGCCAGGGGCTAGAGCTGTGTGAGGCTGGTCTTCCTCTGGGCAAAGAATGATGGGACAGAGAGAATTGCAGCCACTCGTAAATGCTGTTGACAAAAAGGGACAACAAGGAGTTCCCAGATGTGAAGATGGTGTTCTCAGCAGAGGAGAGAGCTCTCCACATGCTGGGAACCAAACAACTGATTTCCATCTCCTCACCTACAGTTCCCAATAAAAGTGCGTGTGCTGGTCAACAGGACAAGGGCACTGAAGAAGGAACAATGGGTCCCTGTGAAGCAAATTCCTGAGACTTAACGTGCCAATTAGCACAAAATTCAGGCCTTCCTTCTTTGCTCCTACAATGTCCTTTCCTGGCATGTGATATTAGCACAAAAACCCCATCCCCTCCCTGTATCCCCAAAGGCAAAACAAACAGACAAAACAAACAGGAAAAAAACCCTTCAACTGTTTCTACCTAGGCACAGCTACACCAGGGAATACGCAGGCATTGAGGCAGCCTCATGCTGCTGACAGCAATGAGTTTCTGTTGGAGAAATGTGTCTCAACAAATGCTTCCCTTAAGCACAGCTGTAAAAAAAGTGGGGTGGGATTTCCTTGCACAGGCTGCCAGTAGCCAGCACTGGCTAGGAAGGTTTCTGACTGTTTGGAGTATTGCTTAGATAAGGCACAGCCTGAAGGGCAAGTGGAATAGGTCATTAACTGAAGTGCAACTGCTCCCAGAGGCTGGGACAGGAACATAGAGCACATATAGGGACCGCTGTTTATTTTACATCCATTGATGTGGATGGAACCTGCTGGGGCTGGGAACAGGATGCTGCCAGCAGGCACACTGATTGTGGCTTTCCTTTGTTTCTGTAAGTGCCTTTGGAATCACTGCCTGTAAGGAAATGGAATGTGGGACAACTGGGGAGAAAAGAAATGCTAGGGAACCACCGTGCTTTCTGTCTGGGCTCTGCATGACTTTTAGCCTCCTAGGAGCAAGCTGCTCCCTGGCTGTAGCTCTGAAAATGGAGGCTGAAGCTTAGGCTCACCCCTTCATCTTGCATCAGGGCTAAGACTTGCACCATACAAATGTCCCTAGGTGGTGTTTTTCTGAAACTGAAGCTTTTTACTTGCTAACAATAGAAGGGAAGGACGTGAGAAACTGAGTTACCCCTGCAGAAGTCCCAGACAGCATGTCAGAAAGTTGGGGAAAGCATGGAGAAGGACCACTACGCTGGCCCGAGACAGTGCTCCCCAGAGCCCCTGAATTATGGGCTACGAGGCAGCACATGTACAAAGCCTGGTGCCAGGAAAAAACATGGTTCTGAGATAATTTGCAGTGAAAAACAACTTTAAAAAGAAACTTTGAGATTGTACAGTATTCATTTCAATGCAATGCATTAAGACCTTAACATGGAACAGATGACACATTTTCCCAAAATCTGAAAAGCACTACTCTCACCCAAGTTCCCAGCCACATTCACAGTTGTGTAAGTGGTTGCAGATCTTGCACGCCCTCTTGTCCCTGGACCCTCCTGCACTCTCCTTCTGAGGCCAGTGCCACACACCCCTCACCATGAACCCCGAGACACTTGTTCCTGCAGGAGCACTCCCTGACAAAGATCCTCATGCCTTCTTGTATCATCTGGTGATGGTCATCTACCTGTTCCAAATTATGAGCTGTTCCCCCCATCACCACTGATCTGCACCAAGCCAGCACACTCTGCACTGGAACTGCATTAACTTAGCATGCTCTAAAGGGTGACGACAGTTAATCAATTTATTAATTTAGTACTTGTACACTTAGATGGTCTGTTTCTGGATGATGCTAAGAATTTTTTAGTGTTCTTAAGTCTTTGTTTCTAAAAGCAACATTCTGGGCTAAATACCCTTTAGCTTCTAGCAAATGTAGTGCCAGTCTCCAGGGAGCTGAGACCTGGACTGTTACTGCCATTGACAAAAGGGACACAGATTTCCTGAGACCATCAGGAACAAGTGGGAGGAGGACATCCACTGGCCCGTGGAGAGGACTTCAGCAGTGCTGCCAGGATGGACACATCCTGCCTGGCATAGCTGAGGCAAATCAAGGGCTTATTTATGAGCACTGATTACTCCAGCCAGCTAGTCCACCTGATATTTTTCAGATGGGTCATGCCAAAGACACTGACATTGTGCATGTCCCAAGGAAGGCAGGAAAGCCAGAAATAGTCTATTGTTCCTGCTCTGTGCCTAGCACAGTGGCACCCTGATTCGTGGCTGCAACTCCTTGGTGTTAACACAATCTAGAGCAAAAGTAGCACCAGCAGCCAAACAAAGGACACCTTTTCACAAGAAAAGTAAAGCATGTTTTGCTTTGTTTTTGGTCATTAGCCCTCATTAATCACATTTTGTAATATAAACAAGATGACAAGAAAACCAGAATTTCCAGATCATCCAAAAGTGCTTTCCATTCCTGTCTGCTGTGTCTGTATTGGTGGCAACTGTCACTGTCACCTCTGGTGGCAAATGTGACACCTAACAACACAGCCAAATCTGTTTCTTGCTCAAGGGAAGGAAGGCTTCCCAGCTGCCTGCTGCCTTTCAGGGAGCACCACGGGATGGCTTCCCATCCACTAGCACAGCGTACAGCATCTGAGACCATGTCAGTATGGGATGGGCTGTGTGATACTGGGCATGGTCCTTTGCCCTCTGCTTCTTTGGGGGCCAGGGGAAAGCGGATCTGAAATTTCTCCCCCAAACTGGGCATTATCTTGGCTCTTCCCAGCCTGGCAGGAAGCACTCCCAGCACCAAGTCTCACAAACACATCTTGGAGGGCTTGCACACCACACTGATGTTGTTTCCCTGGATCTGTGGGGGTGCGTGTGCCTGCCAAGTTTTTCACTTGCACCCCAGCCCAGGGGGTGTCCCATGACACAGGACACACATAGTGGTAGCTAAGAAAAAGCAAGCCTTACAGTCGGCCTTGTAGCTCAATCTCAGAAACAACTGAACCCAGCAAGGGTAAAACCAAATCCTGATCAGGGTTATTAACAAGATTTCTTTTGAGCTGCTTTGCTTTTTTACCCAGGAGGCCCAAGATGTGACCCCCATCATCAGCGCAGGGTCCAGGGCCCACAGCCATTCTATGCTATCTGCAGAGTGGCCCCCAGTCTCGACAGCTTTCCCTCCAGCCTCTCTGGAGACTGAAACACAACAAAAAACATGCTCTGAGCTGGCTCTGGATATATCACACTTGGGTCCTCATGCCTCGCTCACCTGCTTTTAGCCAGAGCCCTGCCACTTCCTTGGAAGTCACGCCGGGGGAATTTAGGGCCGTTATATGTTTCTCATGTAGCTACACTGGCAGAGCACACCCTGTCCCATTGGGCTGCTCCCTTTATATGGCTCACTGCTACAACTAGCTTAATTATAATGCAAAATCCTAGAGACACATGTGACCCCTCAATCAGAGTGGTACTTTATCAGGTCTCTAGAGATATCTTAGTACTACAGCTGACAAGATCTGATAACAAGATGCTTTGCCCTATATCCTTCCTGCCACATAGTTTCAGCTTTAGGGTTTGGCCATTAATGGAGTTTCCTTAAAATCAGGAGCAGAAGAGGATGTTAACAACCAAGTCCCACTCCAGCAGCAGCAGCAAAACAGGGATTCACCCTCCTACGAAGAGTGAATGATGGTACTTTGCCCACACAATCCTCACAGCAAAGATGGGCTGTGCAGGGCTGCAGATTAAGTCTGCTGTTCTGCCCTGGGCTAGAAGGAGACCTGAAGCCATTTTAAATATACTGGAAATGCTAAGGTATTAAATTATATTGACTTTTTTTTTTTTTCTGCTAAAGAAAGCTGCCTGCTAAAGATTTATGAAGAGTAAAAGCAACAGCTGTTTCTGTTAAGAAGGGCCAGTTGCCAAATTTAAAACTGTTAAAATACAAGAAGAAGGCAAGGCAAATCCTTTGGGATATAAACATTCATCAGAAATGCTGCCAGGCCATCACCGAAAAGGATTTTTGCAGCAGATTCTCTGGCTAGAACTGAGCTTCCCAGGACTGCAGATATTTTCTGACTGTTAAATTCTCACCTTTCTCACCCTCCCCTCTACCCTGACCCCAGGCGGGTGTTCATTTCAGAAAAAGCCAGTTCCCAGGATTTATGCTAGGCTACACTGGAGAAGTGGGATCAGAGATGGATGCTGGGCCAGGTCAGGTCAGCTCGCCTTGCTGCAGTGAATCTCACTGCTGGGAATGAGCACTCTTCCTAAAGCTCTCCCTGGCTTTATGCTGACTCTTACTTCTACCCTTTAGGAAACGAATAGATGCAGAGCAGTGCATGGCAGAGCTCAAACATCACATTGGTAGGGAATGTAAAGCCTTTTGCATGGTTGATGGAAAAAGCCTCTTCTATTACCAGGAGGGAACAAGTGGCTCAGAGTTGGAGATAAAGGTGGGTTTGGGTACTGCTCACTGCTAGGGCAATCACCTCCTGACTCCTCATGGCTTCTTGACATAAGGACAAATTACTGAGGTGGACTTTGGTACCAACCCAAATCCTTGGGTTAAAAACTGCTCAGACAGTCCCCTTTTTAGCCTCCAGTCCCTCTTCAAAGTGTTTTGTTTCAATCAGGGACAAGATTTTTTCCAGTGCAGGGCCCCTGTCTGGACCAGACAGCTGCACAACACTGCTTTCAGTCCCCAATCTCCAGCAGTAAAACCATTCACAGTGAAAGACCCAACCTTGTTCAGCGCTAAGAATTGAGCACTGATGGCTAAGAGCAAGTCTAGCACAGGACCTGCCAACAAGGATGATGACACACTGGAGGCTTGCTGAAATTGCTCACTTTCTTCAGGGAGCCAAAGAGTTGCATAAAGATTTCAGAAAGTCTAACCTTACATAGCCCCTGAATATACGAACACCAGAGCTGAAAAACTCAAGCCTAAAGATGACAGCTGAGCACAACTTAAAAAAAAAGAGCAGCAAACAAGGTCCTGTGAATCCCCCATCTCCTGCTTGTACTAACGAATTAGAGTCACACAGTTCCTTCACTGACCCTCCCTTCACAGAACTATCAGTGAGGGGAACACAAGGGCCCTGAGATGTTTTCCCCAACACACCATCCCACTTGTTAAAAGACAAGATTGCTCTTTGGGCAAGAGGTTCAGTTCAGGTATTTTCAATAAATACAACTGAAAGCTCTATTAGGAGCACACAAAGATTCTGTCTTAAACAGCAGCATCTTAAACCAATGCAGTATCATGTAATGCCCCAGGAATTTCATTACTGCTAATGACAACTCACAGAGCATATGGTTTGAGCTTCTTTTTTTTAAAGGAAGCAAGATTTTTTAATTAAAGAATAAAATTTATATGTAGGTCAGAGATTAGGTGATACTTTTAGCTTCTAAGACTTTTGGCACCGGCCCAGTGCGATTGGTTTCATGCCCGTCCTGCAGTGGAGGTTCTCTGAGAATCCCCCACGTGTTCCCGGGAGCTCGGGCAGGATTCGCAGGAAGCAAGGGGTGGCTGGGGAGGCAGCCCAGGGTCCCACTGCGGGGACAGTGCGGGGAGGGGAGGGACACGCCTGCACTGGTGAACCTCTCCATGCGGTGCCGTTAGGGACGGGTTGCAATGACTCCTGCTCTCACCCGTGGGGCAGCCAGGCAGGCTGACAGGTTCAATTACAACATGTGGGTTTCATTTGATTGCAGCTTTACCATGCCCAAGAGACCAAGTCTAATTTTTTTTTTTCCCCCATGGTGCTGGAAGTCACTCTTCCTTTTTGTATGTATCCACAAAAAACATTCAGCAATTACCAAAAAATTAGACTGAGGAAATTTGTTGGTTTACCTTATTTCACTTGTTTTAAACTCCTTTAGAAAATTTGTTAGAAGGTTCTGCGGTATGCAAGTACAAAGCCAGAGATGTAGTCTGCCTCCAGTTCAAACAATTCACTGTAATTTGGCTAAATTGTTTGCTTTGGGAAAAAAAAAAAAAAAACAAAAACAAAAACAAAACCAAAACCAAACCCAAAGCTGATCCTGAAAAATTTTTATCATATTGATCATATAATTTTTTAACTTATTTTTATATATACAAAAATACATGCATGTGTGGTCATCAATGAATTAACCAGTTTTGGTAGATTAATTCTCCTGTAATTTCTAAGCAATGATAGTGGAAATGAGCCTGGTCCAACCCTGAGCTGCAGAGGCTAAGCACAGCTTCCTCAAAAAACCCCTGCATCTGGTAACAGCGATGGCTTTGGGGCACAGAGAAAACAAGGAAATTCTTATCCTTAGTACTCAGTGTTCCCCAGGCTGGACCACGAGCAAGAAGAGTGTCCACGTCCTGCATCAAACACAGAGTAGGTGGGACAGGAGTGAGGTGACTGGGCTGTCGAGGCAGGATCAGGGCAGAAGAAAGTGCACAAGGCTGAGCAATTTGGGAGCAGGGGGTGGTGGGTGGTGGTGTGTCGGCAGGCTGAGAAGAGCACAAGCAGTGACTGCACAGGCTCAGACACCAGCGCAGGGAGACGGGTACAGGTGGGAGGGAGGAGGCACAGCACTGCGGGTGAGGCAGCAATTAGGCAGAAATGGGAGAGAAGTAGGATGGGTAGCAAAGGGCCCAGCAGGGACTCCGGAGCAGCAGTACCGGTCCCAGCTCTTGCACCATTGGGAATCTCACCATTCATGATTGCTTACCTAGCTCCTCAACTCTTTACAATATTCCAAGTCAAAACAGCCAGTGTAAAAATTTGCAAATGTTTGCATAACTGCAGAAGAAGAATGACTACCTAAATACAGTACTTAGTAAGAAACGGGAAAAAAAAAAAAAAAAAAACAAACAACCCAGGATTCATTATTTTTTCATGTTTCCTCTCTCTTAAGTCTCATGAATTTGGGAGCATAATTATTTTTGAACAGCAGAAGTCAACAGCATTGTTGCAATCTCAAAAACACTCAGCTGACTGGCTGGGCAGTGTCTGAGAAGGAGTTAGGGTTGTGCATCAAGAGATGCTTGGCTTTGCCCAACTCTTGCTTTGTTGCTGAAGTTAAGCGGCAAATGAAGTGGCAGCTCACAGGCAGGGACAGCAGGGCCTGATGGCTAAGACTACTACCAAAAATTGCAGTTTATTGTTACCGCTGTGACAAAATTTCTGTGTGATGCTAAAATCCTGTTCAGCAAAGATTAGACAGGAGCCTGCTGTATGCTCCTCAGCTCCTGATGCTCCCGTCAAGACAGCTGGGTCAGGCTTGAGGAAACCCTCACCTGCAGAGTCTCACAGGGGTCAGTGCAAGATGTACCCTGAACAACACAGATTGCTCTGAAAGGCAGAGACCCTGGTCAAAGTGATTCTGACATGGTGTCCACACAGTATAATTGCCATGCTAGACTTCCTTATTTATAGTGTTGAGATAATATCATTTTCTCACTTTGCAGATTTCTATGAGAATTAATTTAGTAGTGACTATCATGTGCTAATAGATAAGAGCTAAAATGTGACATCCAGATATAACAGCACAGAAATGTCTGGGAGAAAATGAACAAGATCACAGGCAGTACAGTGCATGCAGTAAGCTTCCTCCATAGAAAAAATGTTCCTTCCTTACAAGCTACCACTGTGGGCTGATGGGGACAAAGACAATGACAAAGAAAAGGGCAAACATTATACAAAGGTTCTGATCACAAGTTCTGTTGCAGAGGAACGTTTTTATAAACAGTTTTACTTTTATTATGATCTATTGCAAGAACATGAGCAGATAGCTTAGGCTGGGAGAACAATACAGGACTTTGGTTCATTCCAAGTATAAAGACAGCATGAAATGAACACAAAGGTTTCCAAGAATGGCTGGAGGCAAAGGATACCAGGAAAAGCAGCAGACAGCATGCTGCTGTAGGGAAGCAGAGCTAAGCACTGGGCAGAGGGTGGGTGGTGTAGAGCCAAGGTGAAGGAGGAGAAAAGTCCTGGCTGGGAAGATCCAGGGGGCTTGGCACGGCTCGGGGAGAGAGATGATACATTCAGAACAGCAGGACGTGATGTGCAGATGCCCCAGGCTGGGAAAAAGAAGGCAAATGTGTGATGGGAAGTTGGGGCAAGGGGATAATTTTGTGGGGATCATTGGCAAACTACCTATAGGAAATCTAAGGTGGTCTGTCAGACTGGAGGGACACCACAGAAATTGTCAGCAAGTGTGCTGTAGGAGCAGCTCAGCAGTGGGTGAGGCTACGGAAGCAGGTGGAGCTTCTTGCAGAGAGGAAGGAAGGAAACAGATGACAACTCAGCAGCAGTAGCCAGCTATCCATAGCTTCCCAGTTTTCAACCTGATCACAGCTTTCTCTGGATCTCACTTCAGCACCTTCCAGCTGCTTCTACACTACTTCAAGTTAAAAATTACAATAGCTGCAAACCAAAGAATTATGGTTTTCCCAAGCAGATTCTTTGGGTAATCCAATAGTGTCCTCTATTTCCATTAATACTGATTTAAGAGATATTTCTTCTGCCCTCTGAAGAACTAACCTATGGCTTAATGTAAAAAAATCCTATCCCATTCCTTGACATATGTGCAGCTACAGTACATTTTCTCCAACCACTCACAAATGCTGTGTCAGCACATCATTGCAAGAACCACACGTGTAACATGGCAAGCATGGTGTCATGGTACCGTGCCTTATCTCACTCCTCCAGCCACAAGGTAGAGCACACAGCTCCAGCATCCATTGCTGGAGCATCCAGCATCACATGTAGCTTGTGAAGTTCCATCCATACTTTCATGTGTATAGGCGTTTAAGAATTGGAGTAATAGTAAAATAATAACATAAGAGTCAAAATGTTTGAGAGAGAAGTTGTTACACAAACTGAAGTGTTACAACCTAGGTAGCTAGAGAATTTTTTAAACCTAAATCTTTCCTTCCAAGTGATGCAAGTCTGTCTTTTGTACTGATGCTGTCTTGGCTGAATTTCAATTAAATCTGCTCTTTGCTTTCCAATACAGAGTGTCTTTCTTCATAGCAGACACATGTGCTGTAGGCTTCAGTACACAAACACACACCCTAAGGGCTGGGATGCCAAGTCCCCCTTACCCTCCGGACTGCCTGCCTGCCTTGCCTCTGCTGCAGCGCTCTTCCAGCTCCTCTTACTTCCTTAATTTATTTCTAAGCTACTTACCTGACAGACTTACCACCATGAAGTAAGTAAACAGTTAATTTCCTGCTTCCCCACTTGAAAACAATGTTGTATTTGTATACTATAAATATTTGTACCATCCAAAAGGCCATCAGTTTGCAGACCTGCAAATTTTTGTGACATTGGATAATGAAAATAAGCATCAACCACAGATGCAAGGCTCCATCTACTCTCTGAGCTGCTCCACTGCCGATGGAGAGCGCTCAGGGAGCAGCATTGCTGCTCAGCCCCAGAAGCGGGGACAGGGCAGAAACCCAGTTCTCTCCCGTAGTTAGTAACGTGTCCTGTCTGTCAGTCCACAACATACACGACCTGGAACCCAAAAACCCGAGAGGTCCGAGCACATACCGGCCGATGACAGAGCAGGTCTCGGTGTCAGCAGCCACGGCACCATGCAGGTAGTGCTGAGGACCGCACTTGGGTTGAGACAGGATGACCACGAGCACAACCACCACCGCCAGCACCCCTAGGGTCAGCAGCACCAGACAGCAGATCTTCCCTGTGGACATGTCTGTTCCGACGCTGCCGGAGGCAGCTGGGAGGCTTTTACTCCTTTTGCAAAGGCGCCTGCTTTGCTCAGGGTGGAAGTAGAGGATCCTGGCAGTTTTGGGAGGGAGGTCTCACTGAAATGGGCTCTGCCCCCTGTGACTGAAAATTACATTCCTTTTAAGATTAAAAGCTGCTAAAAAGTAAACGGTGTGCTCTTTCTTTCCTGCTGTCTTACTTGTGAGAGGCTTTTCACTCTCTACTATAAAGTAAACTTTTTCTGGCATATCCACCATATGCCTTTTTTTTTTTTTTTTTTAAAGTCTCTGATGAAAACATTTAACACATTCACTGCTGGATCACTTCAAAGTGAAATCTCTACACTGCTTATTGGCTTCCCACAGCCCCCCTGTCTTCACATTCTTGACACACAGAGCAAATTGCCAAACAAAAGCAGCTGACATGGTGAATCACTGGGAAAATTATGTCGGTCCTACATTGCAAACTTAGGGTATTTTCCTTCCATAAGACTACTCAATGAAGTAAAAGATAAATACAAAAGACAAAGGTGGAACCTTCATATTTACTCTTACTTTACCTTATAGTTTATTATAATCTTTCTTACTTATTTTTTTCATCATTAAATCTTGCCAGTGTCCACTCCATACATCTTCTGTAAATGAGCATAATGGAATACCTTGAATAAAGTATCATGCCTCTGCACTTCTGCAAAACATGTGAGCTAAAAGCTCTGAAGTCCAGCCTGCATCAGTCAGCAACCACTGCACCCAGGCAGTGAACGACTGCTAAGACCAGACCTGATTCTTAACAGAGCAGTGATGATCAGCATTAATTGCTACACAGTGCACCTGGCCCCAGCTAGCTCCTTAAGAGCCTCTTAATTATACAGTTCTCCTTGCACTTAAAAAGTTAAAGATATGGCTCCACATCTGCCTGCTGTCCTACTGAAAGTTGCTATCTGTGATCCTTTTCCAGCTAAACTTGGGAGAATAATTCACCTGCATAGATTTACACCTGTATTTCAGTACAGACTTTGAACTTGCACCCACTAAACTTTATCTCACAGCTAGGTAGTACTATTTCATGTATCATATCTCAAGAAATGGATTTGATAGACTAGACTGTTTGTTTATTTTGTTTTTTGTTTTTTTTTTTTTTTTTTTTTTGTAGCTGTATCTTCCCGTAAGGTTATCTTGGGGAAGTGACAGTAGTCCAAGAAAAATATATGGTTTTGTCCAAGACAAAACCATGGTCCCTGGGGAATAATTTCTTGGTCTCCACATCTCTGTCTGACTTGGCAAATATACCTGGCATGTGTAATAATCCTCCACAGCTCTAATGGGACTCTTAATTTCACCCCATTGCAAAACATTGCTGATCTTGTAAAATTTCTCAATCCTTACACGACTTGTTTTATTTTTGACAAATTACTTTGCAACACTTAAAGAATCACCATTCTGGTGTTTTTCTGGAAAGCTCCTCCCTGTAAATTCATAGCAAGGCTGGAAATCCTGACCACTCAGTACCAATAGACACAAGTGGATTTTGCCTATTTTTTTTCATCAAATGCCACAAAGAATTCAACTGCAGTCAAATTTGGTTTTCAACTCAGCACATCAAACATCTGTATCTGGAAAATTACCCTTCTGCTACCAAGGAGGAGACCTGGAAGAGGCAAGAAAGTGTCTGGGAAGGCTAAGACATGGTTATGATCTATTAAAACTAACAGATGCATCCCATAGGCGAACCCATTTGCCTTTTAGATACATAAATGAATTCTGAGCCTCCTTCTCCCTTTCAATGTGTAACCTTTACAGTCTTGTTGGTGCAACACTCAACTTTGACCATATTATGCTACAAAGCCCGCACTGACCCTCCCATGTGAGAGGCTGCTTAGCTGTTCACATGCTGGGGCTCAGGACTATCTATCTGCCTGTCTGTTTGTTTCTCAAAACTTTCACATTTATTATTGTCTGGGAGCACAGTTTGCCTTGGCATAAATCTCCACACATAGAACTTCACTGCAAGGAATCTCTGTCCCTCTGCTGCCAGCATGAATGGCTTTGTATGATGCATAAAATTGAGCTCAGATATTTAAAGACCCTTCCAGGCCAAGCTACACTCAAGATTTTAATTAGAATTATAATAATTAACAGAATCACCATTTATTAACTAACAAGCAGGCAGAGTATCTTTAAATTGCTCTTTATATTGTTGGGATCCTGTAAATTTTTTTCTAAATCTTCCATCAAGAGACCAAATTCAAAAATTATTTAACATCTTAAGTACAGGCATTGATAAGGCTGATGTGAACACCACAGCTTCCTTATGGAGGGTAATAAATCAGCAAGGGATAGGAATCCTCAGATTTTAAGAGCAGAGCCTAAATACTAAGTGAAAGAGTTGGGAAGAAACTCCCCATGCAGGTAGGTTATTGCAGAGGTGTTGAAGGGTCTTGGCCATAAAGCTGAATTGGTGGGAAGAGATCAAAAGGCAGTTAGATCTAATCCCATCACCTAGTGACCAAAGGGACCAGGGTGGGCTCTGGAGGCACCAGGAGCTTCTCCTTCAGTCTTGCTGGGGACAGTGTGCACCTTTGCTTGTTTTGGCAGCACTGTATTGCACTAAGCCAATACAGTAATTTTACCTCAAGTTCCAACAAGTCCTTGACACATGAGTTACCATCTGTAGAGCCTGCCACTCTGACAGTGAAGCTGGTTTCAGATGGCTGGTATCAGTCACGTTTGAGGAAAAGAAAGCTAGTTTCTGGTTGAAAGCCAGCCCTTATAACCAGCCTCAGGATCCTGGGGGTGAGAAGACAAACTCAAAGAGCACCAGCATCTACACATGCTGTATGCGTGCTTTTCATTCAGCAGAATAAAGTTGGAGATGCAAATCAAAGATGCAAATCTTGTGAGAAGATGAAGACCTCTATGCTGAAGTAGGATTCATGACAGTCCAGGGCCACACTGAAGAAAACAATGTTGCTGCCTTGTCTGCAGCAAAAGAGTAGGTTTGTGGCATAAACAGCATTTCAAGCATTGTGTTTTCTCCATGCCTCCTTTTCTTCAGTGCTGCTTTCCATTGATTGAAGGGAAGAACATAACTGTACAGAAAGCCAGACATTTCTACTCAGCAAAGAAAAGCTAAGATATTGACCCTCAATTTAGCACTCTTCAGCTCATCTTTTAAAAATATAAACTAAAAGAACCCTAAATGCATACCAAACTTATAAGGCATTCTCATTCTAGTGTCCTAAACATCCTCCTTTGCCTTTATCTTTACACTTCCCAAATTACATTGCAACATACTCAAGAGGATGCCTCTTTCTACTGGTGCTTGCTTGCAGAGCACTATCTACAGCCACCAAGCTCTTACTGTAATAAATAAGTGCATTTTGCATTTCCCAACTCTAAATTAAGTTTAAACCATTGGACAAGAGTCTAGGAAAGTTTCCAAGAACATGCAACCAAACGCCAAACTGGATGTATTTCATACACATTTGCCTCCTCCAGTCATGTTTATTTATAACCCAGGAATATCAGTTGTCTCTATACAATAATCAAATTACAAAAACATAGACAACATGCTGGAAATTTATTGTTCTAAGAGACATGGCTGTGAGTTCCGCAGATGTTGGTGCTCATAATCTATTTGTCTCAGTACAATTTTTCAGAAACTGAGAAACACTAACCTTCTTTATCAAGGGCCATGCATTTGCTCCCACAAAAATCAAGTTTGTATAGTTTTAAGACATCTAGAAAAACAGATACTCAGAAACCGGAAATTCTGGTATTGAACAACTTTACATTCATGTCCTCCTTTCCTCTGTTATTTCTCAGAATTAGTGATGAAAGTTAAGCCTATAACCTCATCTGATCCACAAAAGCCAACCTCTGCTTCTTTTGTTACTGAAACTGGAAAAAGGGAAACGTGCTCTAAAATTACTCATGGAGTTAATGTTCCACTGAGATTAGTATCTTCTGAATCAAGGCTTTTTGGTTTCCTGTTAATTTCAAAACATGCCCGGGAACAGCTCTCCTGGTTCTAGCTGATAAACTTGGTGGTACTTCATTTCAAGTCTTGAAAACACACTTCTGGCTGCAGCTGTAATAGTTAAACAAATTCCTCCTGCAAGCTCTGAAAGTGTTTAAAGGTGATCACAAGCGGTCCATGTGTTAGGAGTGCAGCAGCAGGGCAGTGATGGATGACTGGGAGGAGGCAAACCTACATCCTGAAGAGAGCATGCATCAGCAGTCCAACACTACTCTGGCACTATTTTCCTCAGCCACCCTAACTTTCAGTTTCCCGTTCTAAGGGGTCTCTCTTTGTGGGCTGCAAGCATTAGCAAAGGGAGAGCACTTGAACGGACAGTCATGGGACATGCACCATTTCTCACATCACTGAATAATTAAAAAAAAAAAAAAAAAAAGACCCAACAGAATCTGAGGGACTCCCATCTCTCTTTAATTTTCCTACTTTAAAAGCAGAGCTGCTGTCTCCTCCTTTTTTTTCCTGCTAGTTACAAAGTAATGCCTGAAAGAAATGCTCTGTCAAAATCAAATCTAATTAATCCTCTATTCTACATTTCAATCAACATATTGAAAGCCAATTATTTACACAGCTCTACTTAGTGGGACACATGGCACAGACCACTGCCCAAGGGAAACTGTTCTCCATTAACTTGCTTTGATGAGTATATCCAGGCACAGTTTACTACAGAGCATCACCATTTTATTCTTTCTGTAACAGTCTAGCTGTGCTCAAGATTAGATTATCATTGAAACCTTCTTATTCAGTCTAACTCTTGAGTGGTTTTCTGGAGCAAATCCAGCAGTTTTCTTAAAGACTAAACCTCATTAGTACAATTATTATAGCAGCTGAAAGTATAGACACTAGAAAACAAAAGGGAGCCTTGTGTGCATGCGAAGACACCAACAGTAAACTCTGTCTGAACTCTGCATTGACTAAATTAGGCCAAAGTATTATGGTAGTGACCTCAAAGGACATATGTGGAGGGGTTTAACTCACATGAAAGTACTAAATATAATATATTTATAGTTAAATGCACATGTACCTATATGTAACAACCTATACACTTGCCATCATACGCTTTATAAGATCTCAGGGAGCCACAATCAGTGGAATAACAGTTCACTGCCATGCTCAGTTCAAGAGCTGCCCTGAGCGGGGTTTGCTCAGCGGGCACAGAGCACCGCACG